CATATTGATTTTAAAAGTTCAATTTCGGCAATTTTGCGTTTATATTTGATCCGCCTCGATTTAATGGAATTTCTTGCACATTATTAGATTTATGTTCTATAACGCAATCTGATTACAACGATTTGATTTTAATCTTTAATTTTACAGAAGTAAAAACTATTTTTTCATTGTATTCATCAATTTTCTCTATTTTCAATTCAATATCGACGATACCAAAAAGATTTTTGATTTTTCTATCAATTTATTGAATTTTTTCGTCTTTGATTTATAATTGTACCAACTGACTTTCGAGCTCATCTATCAAGTGCCTGCTCGTCTAAACGAGTTTTTATTTTTTTAATTAGTTTGGTAACCTGTCTTCTATGTGAGATACGTTGTTTTTTCAACTTATCTAACTCTTTCTTTTCAGCTATTGCTAATTTTATAATCTTTTTCAGATAATAATAAGCACAAAACAAATCAAACAATTTTTAAAGCATATGTGGTTCAGAAACTACAAACACTACGAATTCAAACTAGTACTTATTCAAAACGAAAGTATTTGATCAATCATAAACAATAAAATTTTACCATTCCAACAATTTCCAAGGCATAAACCCTCATTTAACAGAGCATGAAATAGCAAAATATTCCAACTGAAACTAATTCAATTCAATAACTTTTAACTACTTTCAACAGAATGCGAAATGGATAAGTATCAAATCAAAACAACCCACCTCACATGCCACCCTTTTTTTATTCTTGCAAACGATTTTTTTATTCGAACTAACCATGGGCTTCTATTCCACAGCCGATACACAAATTTTCTGTTACGAAACTAAGCATTTTCAAATTTACTAAGCGAATTATTTTCACAAACATTTATTCGGACACAACACAAGCATATACATTTTAAAGCGAACACTCAAGACATAATGCGTTTCGCTAATACCATGCAATGACACTGCTGGAGAGCTTCTGGTTGCGAATATTCTCAACACATGTATACAACGTGTATAAAGCATAAGTTTTACAGGCTGTACATGTTGTATACTTTTTGAACTGCATTTGAAATGTATGCCAGTATAACAAAGCTAGACAAAAATATAGAAGTATGTAATGAGTAAGCAATGCTAGTTTTAATCGTTAAGAAAATTGAAAGAAACTTTGAACTTTGTTTAGGGCAATGGCAAGTGCAACACGTCTTAAGTAAAAGTTAATATTGCTAAAAAAGCACTTTGAAAATTTCTTCAAATGCTCTATATAAAGCTGTCCCGCAGTGGACTGATCGTTAAGACACGGTTCCCAGAAGATCACCGAAGTCAAGCATCACTGGCTACGGTCAGTGTGCGGGTGGGTGACCACTTGGATCAGTCTGCGTAGGGACCGAGGGTGTGCGGTATTGGTCCTCGTTAAACTGTTCTACCGTAAAGTGCTCGACTTCGCGTGCAGGTCGTCGGGCTACCGAAGCGGGGGTGCCATCCCCTCTGCAGAGGATCAAAATTGTGATGGCATGTCTTTGGATCATCCTCAGGGATGTTTCCCAGACCGTCGCCAATAGCCTATTGTGCAGCTCAAGTGCGACGTAAATGAGCAACAACAACTATATAAAGCTCGTTATTTAATTTTTATTACCTGTTATGATACCGATTTTTTTCACGTTGCCTTAAAAAAGACTGTTTTTCGGCTCTGTCATAGCTTGAAATTATGCTTTTTTTACAAATAATATGTTTTTTTCATGTTGTGAGTTTGCTACAGTTATTCACGACAGTTTGGTCGAGTTTAGCCAGCTTTTACCCGGTGCCCTCTCGGCTCATTCTAAAAATGGCGCATAACATCAATATGGAGAAAAGCCACACTTTCGAAAAAATGTAAAGCGTTTAAGGTCTAAGTTTTTAATATATGAAAACTTACCTCAATGCAGCAATATTTAGCCAATAAAAATTTGCAAAAACTGAGATTAATGCTACGGTTTGGATATCTAGCCTGGAAATAATCGTCAACTTGACGATTTTTTTAAAAAAGTTTAATAACTTTTAGAATAACCTGATTAAAAACTTCATCGCTTCAAAAATAAATCGATAGCAAACAGTCGACTTGCTTCAAGCGCTTTAAAATTAGTCACCCTTTTTTAAGCCTTGCCAGAGCATTTAAATCTAGAAAGTCTTGACAATAGGCACCTATTTTTGAAGAACTTGAAACATGTCCACTGTTATATGCTATTTATTTTTTTAACGAATGAAGTTTTTAACCAGGTACTGTCTTATCGATTCAGTTTCTAAGGATTATTTAGCATTTAGAATATTTAAGGTATTTGTCAGTTCTAAAAGCCAGATAGTTCTTTACATCGATATGTTATACATAGTTCAAAATTATAGCTTTGCATCAAGAGTAAGACATTTAAACTGCTACTTTTTTTATTTTACTTGGCAAAAAAGCTTCGAAAAACCACGTTAAGTAATTAAAATGTTAAAAGAGTTAGATATTGTGTTGCTAATTACAGTTACATTGTGCCACAAATGAGAAGCAAATGTAACTAAAAATACAAACACTCAAATAAAAAATCTTATATGTTTATAGCTTTATTTTTCTCGCAAAACAATTTAGTTGTTTTGCCTCAGGAGAATTGCTTTGACGTCTTCTTTAATTTGAAACATTTCTTTATAATCGATATCTCATTTAATCGTTGTAAATGTGAAAAGAAACTTGTTACGCAAGATCAATTTAAAAGAATGGGAGGAAAATATTTAAAACACGCTTCTGAAAACTCAGAATATTTAACAAGTGAAGACTTTAATACTAAGATTTTCAACTGAAAATTAATCTACATTTATTTTTAAGTTGAATTGTTTTTAATTTCACGGAGAAAAACGCTGATATATATCAGTGTTTCCATGAATCTGAAGCATTTTTTTTATTTGTACCAAACACCCAAAATATTACTTTTTTTTAAAGAAATTTCCATAAAATTAGTAGAATTAGCCGTTGATTTATAAGACTAGATCCTTTCTTTGAGGAAAACTCAGTACTCGTAATTGTTAGGAATGTCCGCAAAATTAGAACAGTAGATCGTTAATTTATACCTTTTGAAAAGCGCGTTTCCGAATTTTTTTGTCTAAATTGTGAATGTCGTATCATAGTTGGAAAATCCGGTTGTTCACAAACTAGTAAATCATTAGCAATTAGTAAGGCTGATTAAAAAAAACTTCTCGTAAATTTCTAATTAATCTAACACACTTTTTAGGCTAATAGCAATGAGCCTTGATGCTTTTACCCAAATAAGAAAATATATAGTTGATTACTTAATTAACCTGATTCATTTTAGGTAGTTTGCAATAATTTTTTTAATATTAGTCTGATTTAATATACCTTTTCGATTCAATTGTCGGTCAATAAATTTCTGCACACTACTGTTACATATACTGCAGAAAGACCAATAAAAATGAATGTCTGTTTATTTGTGTAATTTACAGACTCCTGAATGATCCGACCGAGGGCTATGAAATTTGGCATACAGATAGTTCGAGGAACGAAGAAGATCACCGTCAACACTAGGAACATTATACGACGAACTGTTCGAGCGGTATGAGCTAGAAACAAAATGAATTTTTCTAAGTAGTTAAGTGTTAGCCAATGTTTTAAATTTCACTATAGCGGATACAATTTTTCGAATAATATTCAGATAACATCAGTGATATTTGCAAGCTTTTAGCTCTATTTGATACAAAAAAGTTTATTGCACTTACTTTAATATTTAATTATTTTTAATTTGCCAAAAATTACTCTTAATATTTAATTATTTTATGTCGGATAATTTCAATGAGCAACATTAAAGTGGGAGCGGGCGTAGACTACGTCACAAAATAAATTAATATTTTTTAAGTTATCTGATATACTAGGTGTATATTTTGCTTATTGTAATTCATTTAAATCTTTTTATAAAAAAGTAAATAGTTTAAAATCTATGTTAATTAAATATTTATGGGTAAAATTAATGAGAAATTGGCTTTAATTCGCTTAGGAGAAACTCAAGAAATCATCATACTATTATTGACGCCAATGATTAATTAATTTAGATAATATATGCGCAATGAAACGTTAATGAGAAATTCGTTTAGGAGGCCCTTCGAAAATCAATACTCACGTAGGAGCTTAGTTAATTTTGGTAATGTGTACTACTGGTATTATGGTAACTGGTGCAGGTTTACTAAGAATTCTATAACGGGTTTTCCGTGGTTTCAGAAAATATTTCAACAGTTATAGAAAGCATAGCGTATTAATGTTTTTATTAATCAGAATTAAGAGAACTTTTTTCCACATTTACTTATAAATATTTTTAACAGTAAGTGAAAGGTCAGAGTATGAGAGGGTTATGCTCCCAAGTACTTAATAAGATAAGTATAATAGTATAAAAATTTAGTATAATAATTCTAATTGCTTTAAACAATTTGGATTTAGTTTGCTGCTGCTGATTAATGTATTTTGAAGTACCAAATATATTTGACCAAATATTGATACATTTGGTGATTATTAAAACAGTACTAAAACTAAGCAGTTTTAGTACCGATACAGTCGAAATAATTGTCTCCCGACCCTCTTTAATGGGATATGTGCTGGAGAGAAAATTACTTGATGGTAGTAAATTTTGGCCATAAGAAATATCACGTCAAGTGACGATGAATACAATTAATCCCTATTCTGATGAGATGATCAACAAAAAGCTTGTTTTGCTTATTATAATTGCATAAAGCCATTCGAAAGGGCAATAATTAAAAAATAAAATGAAAATATTTTGGTTTCATTAATTGAAGTGCTTAGTAGAGAGACCAGGTCAATGACATTTTTAGAGAGATTATTACCAGAGTAGGAAGAAAAAAAAATTGGTGTCTGAGCTATTTTATTACAGATTCATTAGAAGACAGGGCTGAAATTTTTTTGTCTTATTTTATACTTTTATACTCTCTTATTTATGCTTTTTAGAATGCTTTAATATTATTTTTTTTTAAAAATAATAACATAAGACAATAAAAACTAAATTTATTAAAGCAATTAAACAAGTTTTTCAAATGAAAACAAGAATTTTAGGATTTTACAATAACAGATAATTAGTTATATAAACTAAAAATTTTATAAATGAAAACTTTTATAAATAAACCTTTTATAAACAAATGCTAATGTGTGCAAAATTCTATGGTTACAATTACTGTTAAATTACAATAATATTGTGATATTCTATTGCAAGATATTTTGTTTAGATAACATTTTGTCTCATGATATTTAGTGGAAGTGAGATTCTTGGAAACAGGAATACTAGATCAAATGTGATTCTATTTTCCGATATTTTGTTTCAATGAGATTCTGTTGCATGATATTTCGTTTGGTTTAAATTCTGTGACATGATGTTCTAGCAAAGTGAGATTAATGTCTCATGATATTTTATCTAAGTGAGATTCTTGGAACACGATTTCTTGTTCAAATGAGATATTATCTCATAAAAGTTTGCCAAAAGGAATACTGTCCTGTGACATTTTATCTTGAAGAAATTCTGCCTCATGATATTTTGACTAAGTCAGATTCTGCCTCGTAATATTTTGAATAAACCAGATTCTGCTTCACGAAATTTCTTCTATATAAGTTTTCTGTATACTATATTCTCTAAGCTTGATTGTATTGAGATTTTGTACAATGATAATGTAAGAAGATAAAAGGATTTTTCTTTATTTTGCTTTCCCTATTTTTGTCAACTATAAATTCTTTTTTAAAGGGCACGGAAAAAGAATATTAATCAAATGTTTCTACAGATAAATAAGATACCCGTAAATAAAAAAAAAACTCATATAGGAAGAATTAGAACTGATTTTTCGCTAGTCAATGTGATGGCTAATCGGCTATTCACTATAATTTCAATTTTTATATTATATGAAACAAATATGAAATTAGTTATTAGTAACTAACTACCCAAAAACCAAAAAAAAGCTACTAAAGGCAATAGATTTAAAGTTATGTCACAACAAATTAGAACATTAATTAGGACAAATTCATATAAAAGGTAATTTACCTTTTAGTGACTCAAACTAAAAAAAAAATTCATAAAAATATTTTTTTAACTTCATTTTTATTAGACTTTACAATGGATCATAAGATTTTTGACGATTAAAAAAGTTAATGCATGATTTGGTGACCAGTTTTCCAATTGCAAAACCAACTGCAAAAAGTCCGATTCCAATGATCACTGCGCCTGTGTAAGACCATTTGTCAGGAAGACATCTGTCACCAGCTAAACAGAGATAGAATTTAAAAAAATTAGAGTAACAATTAGGATTTAATAATAAGAATCTAAATTAAATTATCAGTGCCACCCAAAATATTTGTTTACTACATAGCATGATCTGCGTGAGTGTAAAGTCTTTTATGCTCTAAGATTTAAACATTTGGGTCAAAAAGGGCTTCTCCAGCTTAGCAGAAATTGCTTGAGGGATAGCATTGCTTTTCTCACAGGTTACTGCACCCTCAGGAGACATATCTATGCATTACGGGTATTGTATCTGATTCTCTTTGTGGTGGTTGTAATCTTGAGGAAAGCACTTCACTACATATTCTGAGTAAGTGTAAAGTCTTTTCTGTTCAAAGATTTGAACAACGTTGTGTTGAGATTTGGGAATTACAGGACATTCCTGTCAGGTGCTTGTTGAACTTTGTTTCAGCTATAAAACTTTTCTGCTGATCATGATTGAGAGTTAGTTTACAATACACCTCTGGCTGATGTGTCTAGCTCCTTGAAGCTGCCTGTCTTCTGAGTCTATGTCTAATGATATAAGTCAATAAGTAGCTGCAGAGTGATGAATCTTTAAAGAAAAACAAAACTTTCAGAGATGTGCTGAGGAAAGAAATAAAGTAGAAACGCAAAATGAAAGCATTCCAACTAGGTTATGAAACAGAAACAATGCGTAGCTGTAGATGGGTGAATCAACTTACTATTTTTATCCATCTTATTTACATTGAAATTCAATGCATGATAAACTTTGATTCAAAGATACTAAGTGATGAGTCCATAAAAAAGAACAGTGAAAGTGGAACAATTGAAGCAAATCAAACGCAACATAAAATCGCAAACAGGAAATCTCATGACGGCAGACTACTGACTTTTGAAAAAAGAATGTATAACAGTTGATAGGTGAAAACTGGACGAGATTTTTATCCCTCTTATTCACATTTAACATAATGTCATACATTTTAATCCAATGTATGATATAAATCAAATGAAGTTGCCTAGTGAGGAGTCTCTAAGAGAGAACCCAAGTATTCAGAGTAATGCTGCTGAAGGTATCAGGATGAAAAAGCAAAATGGAAACTTCCAGGGCAGACCAACCGTCACATGAAATAAAATCATAGTGTGTGTCAACTGATCTGATAAATGAGAGACACGAGTTTTATCATACTTATTTACACTAAAGGAGACACAAAACATTCATTATTTGGTTCTGATGGTTGGTTTTACATAGCACTGAAGCTGTAAAATAGGCTATTGGTGAAAACGATCTGTTGATGGTCTGGGAAACATCCCTGAGGATGATTAGAAGACGTGCCATCACAATTTTGATCCTCCGATGAGAGGATGGCTCTTCTGTTTTGTTAGCCTGTCAACCTGCAGGTGAAGTTGAACACTTTACAGTAAAACAGTTTAATGAAGACCAATACGGCTTATCCTCAGCCTATTTACAGGCTGATCAAAGTGGTCACCTACTTACACACTGACCGCAGCCAGTGATGCTTGACTTTGGTGTTCTATTGGGAACCATGCCTTGACAATCAGTCCTCTATGATACTTATTTGGCTTTGGAGATATTGAAAAAATTTACACTAAGTAATAGGCAGTAAATAGTGTTTAAATCAGAGTTTTTCTTAAGATTAAGAATTAGTAAAGGTCCATTAATAAATATGCAATTCTCATTGACAAAGTTGCTCTTTCTCAAAATAAATTTTAACTTTAACGAGTTCCTTGCATACCACTTTGTTTTATTGTTATTATAAATTTTCATACGCTCTTCAATGTGACTTGTTTAATTTTAAATGCATTTGATTAATCCAATATTTTTTAATAATTGAACAAATATAATTGAAGCTCGTTTCTTGGAGACAATTTTGGTGATAAAATGAAAGTCTAATGTCTTAACATTATATATTTTTATGGTTACCGTTACAACATACATTTATTTAAATGCCTATAAACAACGTATTCGGGTAAAAATGTAAATAAGAAAAAAATATAATTCGTTAGCAAGGAACTTTTTAATTACCAACAATTAAAAAGCATACTTTCAGCTATAACTTTAAAATTAATAATTATTTTTTCTAAGACTTCATATGCAGACTTCCATTAATGTTAAAATTTGAAATTATTCAGTAAAAAATTTGAAAATGATCAAATAAAAATTGCACTTTTTTGTTTTTAACTTTTTGTGTCTCCTTAAAATACTCAATGTCATATTTTTAATGCAGCTGTTTAATTGTAATGAATAAATTGCTGAAAAAACTGATTCTATGATTGTGATTCTTGTGTTTAAGAGCAAGGCTACTGAGAACATGGTCAATGTGAACACTCGAAACAGTGAGTGCATGAGGATCTGTGTGAAGATGATGGCTAGTGTGTAGTAGGAAAAAAGCTTAGTACATACCCCAAATAGAATACTCGTCCGTTATACCATAAGCTTGAATGGCCATGTCAAAAATTTCCATAGTTGCCTTCCCCAAAGAAACAGAAACTAAACTCTTGCACATATAGTAACCGTATTCATAGTTTGAATATGAAAATAGCCTTAAGTCATTAAAGAAAAATCCTGAAATAAAATTATAACTCAAACATAAAATTATTTTAAAATTTAAAAGAAAACTAATTTCAAAACAAATTGGTAACAGAATATTTATTTTGTAGCCTTAAAATAATTCCACACTTGGATTAAAATTAAAATCGGAACTGTTGCAATAACAAGAATTACAATTAAAACAAGATAACTTTTAAAAAAACGAAGAAACAAAAATTTAAACTTTTCAAAACTTGCAGTTATGAAGTTTTAGATGTCTGCGCTCAAAGCTGGTAAATCTGTATAAAATCACATTAGAATAAAATATTTATTTAAAATGTGATTCTTTCTAAAATGGAAACTCTTAAAACATTTTTTTCGTTTAACCTTATTTTATTCCTCCCTATAAAAATAGATTTTTCTAATTAAAACAAAATACTCGTGAAAAAATTCATTGTTTTTGGGAATAGTTTCTTAATAAATTTCATTTCCCCTCCCAGTTGCCTTGCAGGTTTAGATAAAATTAAATAAAAAAACATTCAGTAAACACAAAATCTCAATTAAAAAAAAAATTCTGCAAGCATTTCATTGACTCGTGTAGCAAGTTTTAGTCGCCACTTAATTTTGACGAAATTCATTCAAAAATCACTGTTTCATTTTGAAGTATTTTTTTTTACTATACAAGACTCTATACTGATAATCAGCATATATATTTTTAAATTAAATTTTCAGATGTATAAAACTCGTTTTGACTTCACAAATGTTTTGTTATTCTATTTTCAAATTTTCGAAAATTGACTGTGCTTTAGAATACAGAAATTTTGGCTGTTCTTTTTTATTTCATAATGAGTATAATCTTCATGCGCTAAGCTTTCAGCGATGGTGACAAATTTTCCACGAACAGCTTTCGTGCCTTCATGTTCTTTATACACATCTATTGCCCGCGACTGCAAGAATTTGTATACAATTCTTTAATTTACCTTGCTGTAACTGCATTTTTATATAGTTTCTAATCAATAAATGTGTCTGAAAATTAATTTACCTCAATCACACCAGAGCGTTTTCATTAGCTTTTAAATTACTTATCCCAGTTCATGTCCGGTGTTAAGGCCCTTGTGTTCTTCTATCAGCTCACTTGCTTCTTTTTCTTTATTTTATAGCCTGCGTTGAACAGTCAATCCAATTCTTGGGTTTACGACTACAAGCGTTGAACTCTGAAGCCTCAGAAGGAAGAGGGAGATATTTGCCTTAGTGGAAGACTTTTTCTTTATGAAACTAACCTGCATTTGCATTACATGGAGAGGAAAACCTCACACGGTTAGGCTGACGGTAAGGGGACTCTAACACATGATCCGTCTACTACTGAGGATTACAGTCATCGGTGCGATTCGAACCTGGCTTACCTCATTCGAAAGGAAGCGCTCTAACCCTTAAGCCACCATGACTTTCACTCGGTCTTTTGAACAAGATCTCGTCTTGGACGAGCTTGTCCATCCTGCCTGTCTTCCTTACTCTATCACCTTTCTTCTCCATGTAGAATGGGTCTGCTTCTTTTTAGTTCGTTTTCAGGTGCCCGAGTAGAGGCTTGGAATTCTCGTTCTTTTACAATATGTGACCCATCCATTTCCATGTTTTTCTTTTTAAACTGCTGGTGATTGGATCTTCCCTGGTCTTACTGTAGAGTTCTGAAGCTGATATGGTTTGAGGCCAGAATATTTATAGAACATTTCTCAAACATTTGTTTGTTGTTGTTTTTGACGTATGCCTGTTTTAGGCAGAGGGGATGCGATTATTCTTACTTTCCAGTGGCACCATCTATGACCAAGAATTCGACTTCTTCCACGCCATACGTCGCACCCGTTTACAGGGCGAACCAATTCATTCATCCACAGATCGTAATTTTGACCTGAATCAGAGAACAATCGTTCTCCAATCCAGTACCCCCAGAGATATTGATTTGTCACGGGAACATGGAGAATTTTTGCTACTTGACAGATTTAACGTGCATCAGTCACTTTACTACACGGGGAGTCTTCGGCCGGCGGAGTTCAAATCAACGAACTCTCGGACATAGGTCCAGTGCCCTACCGACCAGGCTATCCAGGCCCTCTCAAACATTTGTTTAACCAACTATTTAGTTTTGTACTCTGAAGTTTTGTTAGTTTCCATATCTCTGACCCATACAACAGTACATTTATTACCATTGAATTAAAAATCTTAATTTTAGTCTTTAGAATTGAATTATTTGATTTCTAAACTTTTAGAAGTTTTTTTACGCAAAATTGGGCTTTGATCTGGGACCTCACAAGCCTCAGTGCTTTCCTCTATGAGCATTGTGCAATCTGAGCTTTGGGTTTCTTTGTCGATTTAATATTACCATTTATTCGAATACATTTAAGTAAAAAATTTTATACCACTTTTACCAGATTGTCTTTCCCCCATATTTACAGGATCTATTCAAGTACATGTATTTAGAAAAAAAGTTCAATTTTGTGCCTAATTTCGTAACCAAATTATATTTGTATGCATAAATTAATTTGCATATTTACTAAATCATGTCTTAATAATTTAAAATAACATATTTGCATCCTATCAGATGAAAATTTAATCATTAGATCAAAAGCTATTATTAAATTAGTGTTATAACGCCATGCATCTTAATAATAAATTCTAAAGCATTTTTTAAAATTTTTTCTTCGAATTAGAATTTTGATCTAAAACATGTTTCAATGTTTGGAAAAAACTTGACTCTGGTCATATATAAAGTTGTTCATAAATATTTAAATAAAATTTAAAATATTCATGATTTTTTTTAATTATATTTAATTTTTTGTATTAAACTGATTGCATTCAATTGTTTTATTTTGTAATTTAAAACTACTTAATTGTAGTTTAAAATTATATGAAACTCTGTTTATCTCTCAATTTAATTTTATACCAGTCATTAATAAAATGACGAATTATATAATAAATTATAACAAGTGTTTATAATTATAAAAGAGAGTGAAAATGGAGTGGAATTTTATTGTTGATATATTTAAATGATGTAAGGGAAATGATTAAAACTGTTTTTTTAAAAAATAGAGATAAAATTAAGATACTCAAAACATTACCCATGTTTTTGAGATCAAAAATCAGAATCCGACTGAAAAAACAGAATACAATATGCTTATTTGAGAAAAGTACACTTTTTGTCTAATTTCATAATTTAAAATGTAATGTAGCTTAAAATATCAATGTTTGAATGTTATCAGATGAAAATACAATCAACTGGTATTCAAAATATTTCCTTTTTTTTATTTTATCATGTATTTTTATTCTTTAATAACTTTTTCTGCATTGCATACATTCCATTACTCCAATTTAAATTGGAAATCATCCAGTTTCTGCTCAACATTTCTCCTTCAATTGGGATTGTAATAATACTAAATAATGAATAGAGATTAAAATTTGTTTTGTTTCAAACAGATAATCAAAAATGCAAACATGGATTATAATTAAGATTGGAAGTATTTCACGCTGTGAATTTTCGTGATGATTTCTGGAATAATCTTTTTTCTTTTCCCTCTGAAATTCTGGAAATGTGAGAAATGCTAAAATTTAAGCAGAAAGGATTTAAAATGTGACACTTTTTGGTGAGTATTATTTGTTACTCACATTTCAACGGTAAATAGTATTCTGAATCTTCAAAATTAACATTGTATAATGGATTTTAGAGGATAAACCAATAGCAAGTAATAATAAACCAATAGGTTTTAGATTACAAAACAATGACCAATAAATTACGCATTGATTTAAGAAAAAAGCTATACGGTTTAGGAAAAAATTTAAATCAATTTAAAAACTTTCAAAATAACTTAATGATGTTTAAAAACAGTGGTTATGCTGAAAGATTTTTCCCAAAATACAAAAATTCGTTATCAGCGAATGTCTGACTCTAAATGATAGTAATTTATCAATGTGCAATATTTCGTAAAGAAATTCTATTCAGTAGAATAAAATTCTTGTATTGCAAAAAATTAAAAGAAATAATTTTTTAAAAATGTTTTTATTTATTGTTTGCCTCTGTCTTTAAGTCCGCACGTAGCATATTTCTATTGCATTTGTGTTTTCTGAAAAAATTTTCAAATTTCCGTGAATCTTCCGCAAATGTCGATCCTTCTTCTTAAGGTGACAAACGACTTTCAATTTTTTTTTGTTGAAATTATCAAGTGATTTGCTTGAAATTTTCAGAATACATTTATATTGTTAAAAAGAACTTTTATACGAAATTTCAAAAAAATATTTCAAAATTTAAGAAATTAAAAAATTTAAATTTTTGAATTTTTTATGTTTCATTTTATATTATTCCTCGCATCTGAAATTTTGTCAAAATGACAAAATTCTTTTAAAATATTACATATTAGGTAATGTTGAAAAAATTTTTGGGAGTACTTTTTTTATTTTTTATCATATAAACAAATAACATTAAAAAAACAGTGAAAAACCTACATTTTTAAAAATCGTCATACCTCTAGAAAATATCATGTATAAAAAAAATACTATTCACTTAATTCAAAAAAACTTTTCCAACAAAATGCTAATAATATTCATAAATATATAGCATTAAATTCTCAGGTCAATAGAATGAAAGTTCAAATTCATTGCGCTGGAACAGTTTGAAATTTGTAAATTTGTCAAAAAAGACATTTTGAGAAAAATGACTTTTACCAGTTTTTCATTGCAAACTTTACTTCTGAACAAATATTTCTTGTTCTTAATATAATCGCCTATAAATATTGTCTGATGAACTAGTTTAATAATTATATACTTTAAATTTTTTTAAAAAAATTAACAAAATATTCATCTAATTTTAAATTAATTTTAAACGAAACTAATTTTAACAGTTACCTGCAGACAAAAAAAGGTAAACAAAGGGGCCTGGTCAAAACTGAAATGGCCATAACTTCATCAATTTTGCTCTTGTTCCAGAATTTTTTTTTTTAAATGTTCAGTTAAATGTCTAAATTTCAAAAATATAAAATGCAAAATATCGATTTTTTGACAAATTTTTGCTTCTTTGAAAGTCCCTTGTCGCCTTACGAAATATCTTTATCAAAATATATAAATCATTTAAAAGGTAATTCATTTAAAAGTTAATTCAATTAAAAGTTAAATCATTTTAAACTTTACTGCGCATGCGTGCAAAATCAAAAAATAAATAAATAAATCTTACCAGTTTCATTAGTCGAAAGAAGCTGCAAAGTCACATTTTTGGCATACGTTCTTCCGGACTGCCTTTCAAATGTGATAATGAAGTCAAATTCATTATCACTATGGAGCCAAAGAACATTTAAACCATCACAACTACTTTTGTTAGAATCAGCTGTTGGTGATAAAACTAGATATCTAGATCCATTCTAAAATTAAAATCTATCAGTTGAAAAAATGAAGATCAATTACATAATAAAGTAAATTTAAATATCTATAGAGTTTCACCAAAGGTACTTTTTCATTAAAAATGAAACTTAAGCCTGGAAATGAAATGAAAAACATATACTTCCACTTTTTACACACCTTTTCACATCTCTACTTTTCTCACAACATTTAAATAGAAATACCAATACAAACACTTTTTTTTCCATCTAAAGTTAGTTATAGAAAATTGATTGATGCTCTTGAGTTGTGAGATGATATTTAATGGAACAATTTTGTATCATTTCCTTATTGTTCACGATACTGAAGAGCTTTTAAGTTCAAATTACAAAAAAAAGCAATTAACCTTCCGTTAGACGCGCGCACCTCACAGGTGCATCCCTACTGCACTTCCACCTCCTTTGCCGTCAATAGATTTTTCCGGGGGTCGAGCCTAATGTTATGTTCCTAACTTTGGATTACTCAAATGTCCGTGTAAAACCGACCTTAGAACATGTCGATGGAGAGTTGGAACCGCTCAAATCACCCCTCTGGTGCAGCGCGACCATTGACGCAAGTATTATGGATATAATATTTTTATGAATTAAATATATATATTTTATCTCATTTTCTGTCCTACTCAACGTAGCAGGAATAAATGGTCAAGTTATATGCACAGAAAATGTTTACGGAGTAAAACACCGCAGAACCTTCTTGCGTCAATTGGTTGAACATCTTGTGATGGAGGAAGAGATCCGACGCGGGAGCAAGAAAAATTTAACTTCGGTACTTCGCTAAATAAGTTTTTTGATATTTATCTCTTTAAAGAGTCTTAAATTGGTAACAATTAACTATTTAAACTAGACTAAATTTCATTTGGGTTTCAAAAAATCAGAAACACCTCATAGGTGCAACGCGATTAACCATGTCGGAAACAAGTGCGCGACTAACGGAAGGTTGAAAATATGGATTTATAAAGGAAGATGGCAGCACTTATTGCAAAGATAACTGGTTGCTCTATCACTTAATAAATCTGGGTGAAATGTGTTAAGTACCGGTTGAGTTGAAGTGTTAGCAATAAATTGAGCGTTTGATGAAAATCACAGATAATATGTGAGACAGAAAATCCTAAGCAGAGTTCAGCTGAAATATAGAAAAATAAAGGTTTAACTGTCTCTTCTCGTAGAGTTAAACATCTACATACCTGTCTAAAGTCGTAAAATGAACTAACAATTATATAAACCATCGTTAGTGCAAAGAATATACATAGGGGAAGAAGTCTAGCTTTCATTGACATAATGTAAACCAGTCCCCAAGCTAAGGTACGGTTCCTGTGCACAAAGGAAAAAGCATCCTTGTTCCCAGAATTCCTGTGGCCGTGACGAGACCCAGTCCTTCACAGCGTCCTTGAGTACGTCATCCGAGTTGAAGTATTTCTCTTTCAGGTGTTTCTTCAGTGGACCAAACACATGGAAATCGCAGGGCGACATGTCCGGACTGTAGGGAGAATGGTCCAACGTCTCCCACTTTAACTTGGCCAGTTCCATGTGTGTGACTCTGGAGACGAGTGGACATGCGTTATCATGGAGCAGAACCACACCCTCTGTGAGCCTCCCCGGTCTTTTATTCTTGATGGACCTGCGTAGGCGTCGGAGTGTCTCACAGTACACATAGGAGTTAATGGTTTTTCTGTGCTCGAGTTTCTGTTCCTCATTCGGACTGCCGCGTCATTTGGACGCCGCTTTTGATAATAGCCACTGCTCTCTCCTGCACATGCGAGAGCCAGCACATGCTCCGATCCCAGTGACAGACTCCAATCGCATCCCGAGATGGCTCGCTGCGTAATCCCATGGCGGAATACGCAAATATTTAAATGTTACGTTTTTACGTCGTTTCGTACCTTTTCATTTGATCACCCCTTGTATCATCTAACACATTTTGACATAGAAAGAAGGAATAAAATGGTGGATTGCGGGAAGCAGTGTACCCAATCATACAAGTAAAGTTACCCAACAACCGGTTCACATGTGACATATCTCCATTCCTGATCCTCACATTACTTTTAATGTGCAAGCGGTGGGTCTTAATGCATATGATACTCTTCTAAATTTGAGTATGTAGCCTCCCCGCGTTAATTACGTATCAAAAGAGTTGGATTTCTTTTCCCTTTCGCATTCTTTGGAAAGTGCACATCATAAAGAGATAAGTTTGGAATTAGATAAAAACTATATAATCTTAAATTTTAAATTCAAAAAGTAGTAATTTTTAGTGTCTAAGAAAGTTCAACAAAGAGGGATAAAACAGAAAAAGATTACATTAGTACCACATTGGAACTTTCTTGATGAAAATCATTTAGGGGGGGGGGATCAGATATAGTATCGGGAGCTTTTCCAGCTTTGGAATCACTCTGATTGGATAAATAACCAGCATGACATGTAATAAAATTTTGAAGAATATACTCTCCATTTAATATCTCGTCAGTTACAGCCAATTCTTATTTTTTTTAATTTTGCAACATATAATTTTTAAGTTTTGTCAAAATGATTTGAAAATTCGCTCTTTGTTTGAAAAACAAAGTCCTCCATGTTTATTTTTTCTTGTTGTCTTAATTGATTTTTGAAACTTAGATTTCAAAACTAATCAAAACATTTATGTTACTTAAGCATGTTAAAATGTTTTAAAACTTATTCTGATGCTTAAAATATTGTACTTGTAGAAAGAAAATAGTGAGAAATAATTAAGATAAATTTTTTGTGTTACCCTGCATAATACATTAGCCTACGCAATTTAAACGGAAGAGATGGAAATAGGCAAATAAAAGTTAAAATGGCTCACCAAGGTAATCATATGAAAGAGTTAATTTTATGTTAAAACATTTACTAAACTTTATGCTTTTGAAAAATTTTCAATAATACCACCTTTAAAGGTTAATTTTCTGTCATAGTTTTTAATAAAATGAACTTAATTTTCATCGATATATTTTTGATACTGATTTGTAAGCAAAATTTAATTTTGGGTTAAATAAATATATATCGTTTTAGCAGTACTGAAATAAAATTTAAGTAATTTAAAAAATTTGCTTGGACAATGGTTCCATTTGCCACCTCCTAAAGTCTTGTTCCTTTGCGTACTGTCTTAGCACCGTTTCTATATAGGTATTATTCAAATGTTTTCAGAATTATCACTAGACAACAGCACAATACACAAAACCATATATAGAAATTGTAGTGTTTTTATTTAAAAAAAAAAGTTGATTTCCTGTATAACTTGAAAATGGGGCTTAATATATTGTACTAAGTCCTACTTTTATAAAATTGATACTTACGTTGGATGGTATCTCAAATCTTATTTTTAAATTAGCTTTTATGCAAGTTTCAAGTCCATCAGAAACTTTCCAAAATGTTTCCTGTGGTACAGGAGGAGTTGGTGGTGTTGGTGACGATTGCGTAATACCTATGGAACGCAAAATAATTAAGTTTTGTTTAAGATAATACAAAAATTAATTCATGATCAATACCCATAAATGAGCATTAATAACAAATAAGATGATCATGAATACATATAAATGAGCATATAATGCAAAATAATAAAATTTTAACTGTGATCATACAATTTTTTTCATATTAATACTAAGCCATGTTGGGTTATAATTTAAAGAACCACGCATCAGTACTTATTGCATCGTCAAAGGAAATATATTGGAAACAGTTACAGTAAAGCAGGATAAAGAGACAACAAAATAGAAATAGAGATTTATATTTTTAGAAAGTACTCAAATTACTCTTAAATTTGCCGTTGCAGTAATATAAAACTTCTTAACAAATACTTTTGTTAAGGGCACAAAGTGAAAAGTTTTAAATAAATTTTAAAAGAACAAATATGCCACTTAATTCAACAGAGAACATTTTCCTAATTTAATTGAATAACTAGTTATTATTTTGTAGAATTTTTTAAATAGAATTTATGAATATAATTAAAAAGTCAAAGTTTCAATGCATATGTAAAATTTCTCTCATTTAGTAATTCTTATGAATTAATTTCATACTTCTTATGAAATTTCATAATTCTTATGAATTACTTTCATAATTCTTATGAATAATTTCATTCTTATAAATTAATTTCATAATTCTTATGAATTAATTTCATAATTCTTATGAATTAATTTCATTCTTATGAATTAATTTCATAAGAATATGAATTAATTTCATAAGAATTTTTGATAAAAAAATTTTCCTAACTACTTAATGTATTGAAATATCACAAGGACAATATAGTACAAGGACAGTATGCATAAGTAACTACAAAGTAGATTTAAAATATGTATTTTCAAAAAGAAAGGAAGAAAAAAAGAGAGAGATTATAGAAACATTATGCTAGAAATATCTTATAAAAATTGGACATTTATTTATATTTTTTCATAAACAACCATATTTACCAATATTATTCAGTTTTTTTCTAAATATTAATTCTACTGTAAGGATCGAATCATTTACTTTAAAATAAGCCTAATTATGCTGTAAAATCTCAAAAAATTATCATAAAATGTACAAATGAATAAGCCACTTTTGCAAATGGGCTACTCAGGTGTATGACTTAGTTTTAAGTCTCTTAAAGTGCTTTTAAACTTTAATTTGCATTATAATTATGCATTCAAACAATTTAAAAGTTACATTGAGATAATGTGATGATTTTTAATAAAACATGATTTTTCTCAATTTTTAGTGCTGAGACCTCTGCCATCCAAACAAAAGTATATAATTACATAAATTTTATTTTAAATCAATTTTTAAGTAATTTTAAAAGAAAATTATTGAAAGAAAAAGGTTTTGAAAAACTATAGGAATATGCAACATCTTCATTATCTTACATGAAATTATTGATTTACATAATAAGAAAAACCGAAATTTATAAATAGCTTGTAATACTGAGTTAGTGCAATTAAAGAACTCATCGTACAAAAAATATAAATTTTTAAAAGCAATAAATGTAACTTCAACTTTAAATTTCAAAATTATTTCCGAAATTGTGTTTTAAGCTTTTTCTTCTTTCCAATATTATGCTTGATTTCTTTGAATATTATCTAATTTAGGATAAAAGTATCCTTCAATGTTTTATTTTAATTTACGAAAAGATTGTTGCCTAAGGGGATATTTCGATATCGCGATCTGTGGTAGAATAAACTTTCGGAGAGCGGCCCGCTAGGAAATAAAAAAAACAAACATCATAGAAAGGGCCCAATTCGAGTAAAACCCGTAGCCACCCCCGGAAAAACATCTATATATATATATTTTTAAAAAAAAATGTTGAAGTTTGAAATCTACTAGGCAAATTGGCGATTGTGATAGACGTGACAGATCACTATAAACAATATAGAATTAGTCTAGAGAACAGAAAACTTTCAAACAAGCCTTGAAGACAACTATTAAAAAACAGCGTACTCGAGGAGAAAAACAAAGTAAAAAAATTACTATTTATTGAAAATGACGAGATCCAATATCAGTGTCTTTAAAAATTGGATCTTTGAAGATCTGCTCTAAAAAACAAAATTTATGTGCCTGTTGATTGTTCATAAAGTCTATTAATAAAGCTGAATAGCGCGTGATTCTAAGTGACTTCAGAAAAAACGTTATCAAAACGGACCTGTCGGTGCTTTCACTTTCACGTTTCAAATTTACTTTCACTTTCCCGATTTTTATATGAATGGGGTCCCATAGAAAATGCAGTTATAAATAGATAATATATATGTGACGATGAATGTGAGTTCAATATTACATTAAATGTTTATAACTAATACAGCATTCAAAAACTTACCTAAACAAAACAAAAAGGTAGAAAGAAATCTGAGAAGTTTCATTTTCTTCGATTGTTTTTTTTAAATCGGTTTAAATAAACTACATTCCTCTAAATGTAAATCAAATGTAGAATTATTACAGAAAACTTTCATGCAAGCGGGGATGACAATTGCCAAAAGAATAGTGTACTTTAGGAAAAAGACATAATAAACAGATTACTTCATTTTACAGATGATTAATTTAACATCACGAGATCAAATGTCCGCGTCTTTTATGAATGGGCTAGTTGAACCTTGACCAACAGCATAAGTAGACTGAGCAAGCGCAGTAGCTATTATGATGTCATTGCTGCCAGCAGATAGTTATGGATATTATACGTGAAGTCTTCGTTAGTGTGTAGTGTTCGTTTAGTTCGAAGTGATGCAATCTTATCTTAATCCGTACTCGTATTCATAATTATAAAATATAGTTTGAAGAAATTGATAAATATATTATTCTAAATCTGTGCATACTTATGTATATCATTAAAATTGTATCAATTATTGAAAAAACAAACTAAAAAATAAAATATAATCTCACTAAATATAATCACAATCTGTTGTATAATCACATTCTATCAGAAACATGCTTTTGTAAAACTCGACATTCGTTGAATAAAATGTTTTTTATTTAATGAAATTTATTATTCAAATTGCTTTACTAAATTTCGAATAATGTTTTAGAAGATTGCAAAAAGATCGTAAAACAACATATTTTATAATTTAAAAAAATATTAGCAATCGGTTATTAGCGGAAAAAATATGAATTAAATTTTACGTTAAGCGCTTGTAAGTCAAGTTTCTCGTTAATTAACCACATTTATATATTAATCGCCCCATTTAAATATTTCATCACGGTCACTAAACCATTTTTTAAAAATAATTAATTAAAAAATTTTTTTGGTTTCTACTAAAAAAAACAGTTGAAACTTCAGATTTTTCATTAAAAAAATATGTAAATTAATATGGCATTAAGAAAAAGTCATAACTTATAATTAAAAAGTTTTCAATTCTCTATCAAATTAAATAAGGAAAAGTAATCGTCATTAAAAATTATTTATTACATGAAATTTTTTTTAGGTTAATGAGTTTCAGGAATGGATGCAATTTTCCTTTTGAATTGCTAAATTAGTTTTAAGAATATAACTAAAAACGTAAAAATTGAAATTAACACTAAGGATCAAGCTATGGGGACCATATTTACCAGATTGCGGCTACCCCCTATATTTTGAAGACTAAGAATTCAAATAAGTAAAAAAAAACACATATGTTCTTTCAGAGGAAGTAAATTGCTGTGTATGATTTCTATGCGATGCCACTGAGCTGCCACACAGGTTCAGTGGCGGTACCGGACATACTAGAATGAAGGATATTGACCATATGCCATAGTTTGTGTACTACTAGGATCTAAATCTAATAGAGTATGCCTAGGAAGCTCTTGGCAGACGTGTTTCACAAAGAACACACTCTTTCTAAATAGTACAAGAAGTGAAAAACAGGCTTGGGAGAGGAGTGAGGCAATATCCCCCAAGACTCTTCGATAGTTTAGTGGACAAAATAAAAAGCAGAATAATTCGTTTGAGCCGTGATGGCTCAGGGGATAGAGCATTCGCCTTCCAATGAGGTGAACCGGGTTCAAACTACAACGATGGCTGGTCGATACGAATTTCGCATCCGACTTGCCCCGACCACAGTGCTTAGTCAAAATATCCTCAGTGGTAGACGGATCATGGGTTAAAGTCCCCAGGCCATTGGACTAACCTTGGAAGGATTTCGTGGTTTTTCTCTCCATGTAACGCAAATAGGGGTTAGTTCCCCCAAAAAGTTCTCAACGAAGGTAAAATTTCTCGAAATTCCTGATTTACGAGTTTCCTTTGTTTGTATTGGGTTCAAAATTACAAAGCTACGGAGTTGAATATTTATTATTGTAATTAATAATTGTGTTATATAATTGTAATTAAACGCAAAAAATTGGGTCGACTGTTCAAAGACGGTTATAAATATAAACATAAATGAGCGTCCATTATTATTTTGTGATATTTTGATATCTGAACTATTTTGCATAATAATAAATGCATGATATCTCTACTAAATATGAACTTTGTTTCGTTTAATCAATCAACGTCTGTTATCTATTATGCCAAAAAATGTAAAATATAACTGTTGCTTAGCAACGGTCTAAAAACACAGTATATATATATATATATATATATATATATATATATATATATNATAAAAAAATTTCTATTAAAATCTGCAAGTTCTTTTTTCAGTTACTTTTAGTTAAATTTTCAAAGAATACGCTTGCAAGTTTTTTAAAAATTAATGCTGTTTTACTGAATTTCAAAACATGTCTTTTATTGTAAATAACTTTCGTATTAAAAGTTAAAATATTTTTCTTTTTTCCTTGGAGGAAATTTTTTTACTTTACCTCATGTACGTTTTGCAAAACTGAAATATTGGATCCCTTAAATATAATTTCAAAAATTGTTAGTGAGGCCATGGTCCAACATGGACTGTAATGGCAGGGAGTTAGTTAGTTAGTTAGTTAAATATAATTTTAACTAATTTTGTAAGTAGTGACGATATATATATATATATATATATATTACGATTAAATTTTAGGTTCTATAAGTAATATTGATGATGGTACATATCGATGCCCTGATGGTTCTTCTCCCTCTATTCGACATCAAAGAATATCTGGAGTACTTGGAGCAGCTTCAAGTGTCACTTCAATTCAAGTTGCAAATCTATTAAGACTCTTTAAAATACCTCAGGTACTTATTTGTTCGTTTTTTTCTCCAAGAAGTTGTAGGAACAATTTCTTATTATGAACTTATACACAATTATAAATTCTTGTTCAATTAAATAATATAACGGAAAAAATAGTTTTTTATGTCTACTTTTGGAAAAATGATGTAAATGTTGAATACGTAAAATGCTCTATTAAGGAACGCGGACGTTAATGAGAAAAATTCTTCGAATTTCCTATGTCTGATAGTTTTTGACATAAAGATATCACGTGATATATTTCAACTTGTAACAGTCCATTTTTAAATTTGAGATTTGATTAAAAATTTATATGATTTTCATGGTGTTCCCTGCAGGCCATTTCTTATAAGAATTTTTTGAATAATATCAAAAATGAAAACAAAAGAATATTGATATTAAGGGACGCAATTTATTATGAAAAAAAATTCTGTCGCAAAAGTTAAATTTAATAAACAACAAGGCAGGATTATAAGGCGAAACAGGGAAGGGTTGAAGGACTGCTAATTAAATCTGCTTTGATGCTTATTTTATCTGCTTTCCTCTATTGTAATTTGTCATATTTCGATATCGTGAAGGCTTACGCTTAAATGGTAGCAACCTCCAATGTGTACATTTTCTGCAATTATTTTTTATAAGGATTTTTAATACACTGTACATCAATTTGTAGTTTTCTTGTTTTTTTTTCTTCTGAAGTTAAAGTTATTCATTGTTTTAGCAACATTAACAAGTTAATGGCTCATGTTTGATTTACTGTCATAAAATTTTTTTCTTATACTCTTAGATGAGTAATTTTTTTTCAATTTTAACGAGAAGTTTATTCTTTTAATAGAAAAGTTTATTTCAAAATTTTTGAACAAATATTTAAAAATCAAATTAGACTATTGAACTATTGAAGTGTGCTTTTTGAAGAAATATTTTCTTAAAAAAAGAGATTTCAGCTCAACGTACCTTATAGTACGTATCCAATATATGTACTTTTTTCTGTCATCTCTTATAAGGATTTTAAAAACACTGTACATTAATTTGTAGCTTTCTTTGACACAATTGTTTAATAGTTTTTCATTCGTTCAACTTCAACAAGTTACTTGCGCATCAATGTTTGATTTACTGCCATAAAACTTTTTTCAGATTCTTTTTGATGACTCTTTTTTCAATTTTAAGAATATTTGAGTCCTTCCTACCTTTTTTCCAACATTTTGATAAAACTATTTAAAAATTGAATTAGGCTGAAATGTTTTTTCTGAAGAAATATTGTATTGAAATTAGATATTTGTGCTGCACAATAATACGTAACGCAAACAATTCTACTAAAATGCACATAAACACAGTATTTAAATGAAAATGTAAGAGAAAATATTAACATTTTCACCATGAGCTTCTTTTTTTTAATATATTAATTGTTAGAAAAATAACTACAGCTATTACTTTAAAACAATTTTACCTAATTCTTTTTTTTCAATTTTCAAAAAAAAGAAAAAAATCTGATAATATCTCAAAATTTTGTGAAGATTTCAAATAGCAATTGTATTTTTTATGTTTCAAACATTTATTTTTTTCCTTCATGAATCCTAGTAAAAAATAACCGGGAAAATGTGTACATTAGAAATCAAATGTGACCTGTTTATTTTGGGCTAAAACTAAGTTGGTTACTATAGCGAAAGACAACTGCATTTTATTCACTCTAAGCAAATGAATTAGTTTTCGATTCTTTTAGTATCGTCTTTATTCTATCCCGAATTCATAATTATCAATATTTGGAAATGTTTCTGTTTCCTTTTTTTCTTATTTAAATATTAATTTTCGTCTACTAATATGCACAGATGTATGATTTAATATTTTGCAAGAATGATAAAAATTCGAACATTATATACTGCGAAACACCCTCTATTATCTAACCAAGAGAATTTTCAATCCATTAATTCTTGCCGTAAAAAGACATCAAACATTATGTAATAACAAAATAAAATATTGATTCCCGGTCGGTGGATGATATTGAATGTAGGTTAATTTCTATTTAAATTAGTTATTATTTTTTTTTTAAATGATAGTTTTCAAATTCAAGTCCGTATTTAACGAGACCATAATTTGCTCCTCCTAATTTTTAAAGTTTAAGCCATATCTTCTTAAAAACCACGAAATGTTGCATTTATGCAGCTATTTATGTGATAAGCAACTGTTTTTCTACGATTAAAAGAAAATTTCGGAGCAAATGAATAGAGGAATGCAGAGTTAATCGATAAGACGATTTATGTCAAACATATCTATTAATATTTTTCTTTAAATATCACAAACGACATCAATAAAAGTGAACTAGTGTTTAAAATTACTTGACAGGCTACCCCCCAAACTAAAGTAGATTGAAATGAAATATGGTTAGAACGTAGTGTCACAGAGATGGGATTTGTAACCTTTACCTCTTTAAGGTGCACTGCATTGAAATGCTCAGTATGACAGCCACCTTTGCACCTGTTTGTCAATCAAAGAGACTGAAAAACAGGTGCAAAGGAGGCAGGTTGCCTGAGAAAATCGATGCGGTGCACCTTAAAAAAGTAAAATGCGCAAATTGCAACCGGTGACCAGATGTCATCAACAAATTTCAACACCAGATTGTTGTTTTTGGGGAGGTCAGAGTAGACACAAGTTACAACTAAAACCGAAACAATGACGAAATCACGCTTGTTTATCAAAGAGGCCAACGAGCAAGTGCAAATGCCACTGACAGACTGAGAATTTCAGTGCGACTCACTTTAAAAAGGGAAAGTGTGCAAATAGCAACTCGAAGACCCGATATCACACATAGGTCGTTAGAAAACAGAAAAAAAACGTGACACCATTAATTAAAATAAAATAAGGGACGTCTGAATAATTTAAAAGGAAGCATAGGATTCTAAAATCTTATTCCAATACTTCATATCCCTCAAAGCGTCTCTTTCAAAGACATGCAGGGATATGCGATAAGAATGTACCGAGCACCCTGTCTGCTCGCCAGATTTTAATTACCAGTTTATTACTCGGGCTTGGCAGAAGAATTTCAAATATGCTAACTGATTAGTACTGACGATATTTTAAGTTACAAAATCAGACAAAAAAAAAACACACTTCCCTGAATTAAATTCTTTAAAATGCTTCAAAAATTTGAATACCTTACAGATCAAAATGTTTCGGCTATTATTAAATAAAGTAATAAAAAAATAAATATTAGAAACTGTTTTTACATAGAATTATCAATGCATAAATTAATATTATAGTTAATTGCTGAAATTCTCCTATTCGCTCTAAAAGCTCTTGATATAGGGCGAAATACACCTGGCCACATGATTGCAAGAATATTTCCCAAATTGTGGCTATCCTCTATATTTTGAGAAGCGGAAATCCAAATCTGTTGGTTTTNAGATAAGGAATCCAAATCAGTCTGATTAAAGGTATGTTTAGTCAGAGAAAGTACGCTTTATGTTTGCTTTCGTTACTTAGAATATTGTCTGCACCCATTAGAATAAAAACCATGAGCATTGGAACGTGAAAGTCCAGACATTGGATTAAAAGCTATTCAGGGTGATTGTTTTTTTATTTTTTTCTTCCTGTTTTTGCACCCTGTATAGTGAGCCAAAAAAACGGACCACTCTGAATAAATTTTGATATAATTTTGATATCTTCACGTTCTAGGACACGAACTTAGTGGTTCAAAAGGGTGACCTCAAATGCGCTAATCAATTAGTGCAAACGATATTTTAAGTTACAAAATCAGACACAAAAATGTATTTTCTCTGAATAAACATGAATTTTTTTCAACGGATTCGGATTTTCGGCCCGAAAAATATAAGGAGTAGTCACAATTTGGAAAATATGATCCCCATATATTGGTTAGGATAGTAATTCAAAGTTTGAACCCCTTAATGTGAATTTTATTTTTGAGTATTTTACCAAATCTCACGAACTCTTAAACCTAATTTAAAATTTTTTTCAGGCAATTATAAAATTCGTTTTCTCAAAAATAATTCTTTGCTAAAAATAAATGTTAGTAAATATTTATTATTTTTTTATTATTTTATTAAATATTAGTCAAAAACATTTTGAATTGCAAGGCATACAATTTTTACTATACTTTAAAGTGTATAATTTTACATACCAAAATACAAGATTTGGACGAAATCAGTTGAATAGTACTTGAGAAATCGAATTTTTAAGAAGTCGAACGCTTAAAATTCGATTTCTCAGGAACTATTCGGTCGATTTCATCCAAGTTTTGTATTTTGTCATAAAAAATTAAATACTTTAAAAAAATGAAAAAAATTTTATGCCTTACAATTCAAAATATTTTCGAAAAAATAATAATACTAAAAAATAATAAGTATTCACTAAAATTTATATTTTACTTGGAATCATCTTTGGAAAAAGGAATTTTATAATTGCGTTTCAAAAATGCTTCAATTCTTTTAAAAAAAATCTGGAGATATAGTGAAATACGCAAAGAGGTAAAATTAACATAAGGGGTTTAAACTTTGAATCGCTCTCCTGACCAAACTATGGGGACCTTATTTTCTAGATTATGGTATTTTCGGGGTATAAAATTCGAATCCGCTTAAAAAAAGCATGTTTCTTCAGATATAGTACATTCTTGTGTCTGATTTCATAACTTAAAATATAGTTTGCTGTATTTAATTAGAATATTCGAAGCCCCCCCCCCCCCCTTCACCATTAAGTTTGAATCCTAGACCGTAAAAATCCAATGATTATATCAAAATTTATTTAGGGAAGTCCGTTTTTTTTTTTTTTTTTTGACTCACTGTACTACATCTGTAACAAGAAATCTCCGACCGAATGTCATTAAAAATATCTAGTAGTTGCAGAGGTAATCAAGCAATTCTAAAAATTCTCTTTTTATCTAACACTAATATTTAATTCCAATTTATCGCCTTTTATGTGCCTCAAAATATTACGCAGAATTTAAGTTTTAAAATTATGTATCTCAGACTTTTTGTTCTTACTTCATATTTTGTTTCCATCATTCAGATACTATTTTTCAATTTGAAATAATTCTTTAATCGTCATTGTTTCTCTCTCCCTCTCTTTTTTTTTAAAAAAAAAATAGGTCAGCTTCTTTTCTACAAGTCCAGAGCTGAGTAACAAGCAAAGGTTTGAATATTTCTTGAGAACTGTACCTTCAGATACTAACCAAGCTGATGCAATGGTGCAAATCATTCGGAGATTGAACTGGACTTATATATCCATCTTGTACGAAGAGTCAAATTACGGAATACAGGTTAGTAAAGATAAAAAAAATAATTGATGAATAATTTTGAATTTTATTTCAAACATTGAGCAGTATTAAATAAATAATCCCAAGAAACTGAAGCGGGAAGATATTACCTGATTAAAACTTCATGCGCTGCTTCAAAAATTTACAAGTAGGAAATGGCGGTTGACATGTTTCAAGCGCTAAAGGTCACCCACTTTCCAGGCATACCAGTCATGAATTTGAAGAAAAGAAAGATATTTGAAAGAAAAAAAAAAGTTGCGAAACTAAACCAGAAACAATACAGAAAACGAGAGAAAAAAAATGTCGAAAAGCAGAGCAAGAAAAACCACTGAGGCCTAGAGCGGAAAATCAGGGTAAAAAGTCTTGAAAATGGGCGCCTACTTTTGTTGCTCTTGAAAGAAAAATGTCAACTGTTATTTCCTTCTTTATATATTTGTAGCAAATGAAGTTTTGAATCAGAAAATGAGCATTATTATCATATTATTGAGAATGAGCATTATATAAATTTTTTAACAAGGACGTCATTCATACCAATCAGAAATGTAGGCGACATTTCTTAGATATTCTATTGCTTAGATACTAATATTACATATATATATATTATCTGAATTATTATACTAATGTTACACTTCAATTAGCTTTCAGATGGTAATTGCAATCACTGCAAACTTGCTTTCACTTGAAATCATAAGGAAACAACTCAAAATTATAAGGAAACAATTCAAACATAAATCACAAAAACTATAGATATGGGAGATGAGTATGGTTTCTTCTTTTACGTATTTTGGCTTTTTATTTATGTTTAAAAAAACTCGTATATTTGAAATATCGTCTACTCTAATTAATTAGAATATTTGAGTTTACCCCTTCCAACGATGAAGATTGAGTCCTAGAACGTGAAGATCCGATAATTAGATAAAAAATTATTCAGATTGGTCCGTTTATTTATTTATTTGCGTACTGTAAAATAATGGGATAATACTGGGATTTAATTTTGATAAAATTACCATAAATAAATTATTTATCTTGAGAAATTTGACAGAATGACATAGTTCTGTTTTTTAAATATAAGTTTTATAGGGTTTTATTTTTAAGTCAAATAAAAAATAAATAACATGCAATTTGGAAATAAAAAACATCTTTTTCAGAGTATGCCTTAAATGATCACCGATACAGCAAAATAGTAGTACCTCTTATAGGTTTTAATTACCATGTACTGAATTCAAATTTTAAGCATAAGATTTCGGAAAAATTTAAGCAGAAGAGATTTCTTTTGTAGTACGCATTATACTTATAACATATATACAGTATTCTACATGTATTTTTTTCCTATTCGTTCATAGTTTTGTCATATTTCATGACAGTATGTTATGTTTTCTCAACTACTCATCCATAAATATTATAAAAATTCAAAAGTTCTCTTGTAGAGCTCTAACTATAAACACAAAAAAATATATATTGCATATAATATTCATAACTATTCTATACTTTTTGTTTTAATACAAGAATGCATAAGATTCCTGACGAAATTTCTGAGCATGTGTTAAAATATTTCCTCATATATAAAGATTGAAGAAAGTTTTGCCGTAGATGAGATATACCCACTTTTTAACTTCATGACATTTTTTCTTTGCTTTTTTGTTCAATTACACTGTAAGAAATATCGAAAAAAAATGGTTAAATAGCAATTTATTTCATTGTCATTTTACTATATCCAAGCAAAACAGTCAAATAACCATAAATAAAATGGTATTCAAACTGTTAACTGTGACAAAAAACTGTTTATTAACTCCTTCCACCTAATAAGGTTGAACAACCAGAATTTTATCGCACCAACATGATGAAGCCACTAAGTTTCTTCAGATAGGTTTATATTATAGCCGAGGGAGATTATATGTCCATCTCATGCCTGCAGAAAAGGAGATCGAATCCCAGCTTTGACACTATAATATTTCCTCTATTCCGTTCAATACATGAAGAATTTCCAGTGTCCAACACTCCCCATTTTGTGACCCTGGGCTATCAGAATAAGATACTCTTTTCCACTCATTAATGGCAGCGCCATAGGGCTGCTAAACTATCTCCATTGTCAAGTTAAGTGTCTCTTTTACTGTTTTGAAACCATGATAGTTGTAAATGGTTAAAAAAAACGTATAATTTTAATTATTTCAGAAAATTTGAAGTCTAAAGATGATGGAAAAATTACTAAAGATTTTTACTGCATTTTTATTTATTATTCATTGCAAAAAAATATATAACAAGTTAGAAAAATTAAAAAATCTATGATTTTGATATTTTTAAAAAGACTTATGTGTACAGACGTTTTGTTGTGATTTTTAATGCATTTTAGAAAAGTCTTAGGTTAAATTTATTACCATCTATTTCGGAACTCAAATACATTATTTATATTTCATGCTTTTTCCTGGACTTCTATGCAAAACCATCGGGGTACTGAGGGAGTTAATTTAAGCATTTGCTTCTCCCTCAATTAGAAATGGTTTTGTTTTTATGGCTACCGGGGCCGGTACCCCCTGAAGACGTCGGCTTCGGTGGTCATATTTTCATTTTTATTTCCTTCATTTTATTTTTCTTTATTGCTACTTTTTTCTGAAATTTCTGCTGCTTTTTAGCGCATTTTTTTCAAAGAAGTTTTTTCTATTAAGAATTAAAAATATTTGTGTTTTTTTTAGTACGTAAATACACTCTTTCTGAAATCAATTGTATGAACAATGTTTTGTATTTTTGCTTTATTTGATTGATTGTTGAAATTTGATTTTGATCAGTTACCTTGCAACAGGTTTTCCTTATTTCCTCAAAGAGCTGTGATAAACTTTTCAGGTATATTTTTTTAAATTATACGAATTAGATTATATCTGAATCTATAATAGTAGGGCTAAATCTACGGTTAGCAGCAAGCGAGCGGAAGAAGTGAAGTTCAGACTTTAAAGAGGAATATCCCAATGGTTAAGTGGGCAGAAAACATAAGAAGGAAATGTTGACATTTTCAGACAGTTTGGGTGGTTAGAATTCATATGAGTGGGCAAACAGAAGGCAAAAAAAACAGAGGTGGAAAATTGGTCAGGGTTTTCAGTTACAAGAACATCTAAAAAAGATAAAGTAAAATTAATTTTCACATTGAAAGTAAATTGAATGTTGGGGTCAGAGTTGACAATGGAAAGAAACTCTTGAAAATCAGCGACACTGTCTACTAAGACAAATGTACCATCAATTTTCTACCATGAGAATTTGAATAAATTAAAAACTTTTTCTTTTCGAAATAATGCATGAATATATCACAAAGAATGGAGGAGAGGAGTTGACCATGGCGAATCCCTCAATTTGCTTATAGAAACTACGATTGAATTGAAAACCAGTTTACTGAATACACGGATTGACAAAGAAGATAATATCTTCAATTTCAAATAATGAGTTGTGAAATTTTTGCAACCGTATTTTTAAATAATCAATAGCACTAGAAATGGGGACATTAGTGAAAAGAGAAACAACTTCAGGAGAGAGCATAGTTTTGATGGATGAGGAAAGCTGTGCTTGTTGTGAAACAAAATCATGGAAATGTTTTGAAGTATAAATATTGACGGAAATTTGATTTGGGATAATACGTGTTAAATAGCGAGCAAGTTTACAGACTAGGGTATCAATGTTTAAGACAATTGGTTGAGGCTTGTAAACTTTAGGAAAGAAATATAAACAAGCACGATTTCAAATAGAATGAATGACATTACATTTAATGTAGTCCGAAAGAGTGCAAGAACTTTTTTATTTTATTCTTAATAGCAGCAAATTGAGGCGTGGGATCGGACTTTCAGAGTCACGTCTACTCACATGCATTTAAATATATTCAAAACATATTAAATATATTTAAATAAGTTCTTAAATAAACACATTCAATGTATTTAAATTCACATATTAAATATCACAGCTTTTATTAACTACATTATTTCACCACAGCAGTTAGTAAGTTTTAAAAACCAAATGAAACTAATAACTGCTTGTATATAAGCATTTTAAAAATAATGACTTTAAGAAAGTTTCGAAATATTCAGAAATTCATATGCCACATAAGAACTTAAGACGTTTTAAATTCTTCAACCATAAAGTTTGAAATAAGTAGTCACCCAAGTTTTTCGTAATCGTTTACTCTCTGAGTTTCAAACTTAAACTAATAGAACGATAGTATCAGAAAATACTTTACTATAAAATTGTTACTTTAATAACTTTGGTAAAACATTTATTTCGATAACTTTGGTTCCGTAACATCTTAAAATTCACTTCCCATGAAGATATAAATATTTTTCTTCCTACAATAAAATGTTAGCTCCTTTTAAATTACACACAGTTTTCGATAAAGTTATGTGTTTAAGTTGAGGTATACGAAGGAGTACAGAAATTTGAATTGGGAAATATTGATTTATGCAAGGTTTTTTCCACTTGGTTATTTTATTACAACAGGGAAGCGATATAAGTTTCACATTTTATTCGTTTTACGATAAAGTCGCCATCTTGAACGATAAGAGGCATTTGAGGGAAAATGTTGCTTTAGAGAAGTGTATTTATTAAATGGGAAATAATTATTATGGTTTTTGCACAACATTTTAGAAATTATTTCACTATATGTATCATAAATGACTATTTGCTAGGATTATTTTGCTTTTAAGACATTCAATATTTAAAAATAGACTGAATTTCATTGAAATTATGAATCTATCAGATATTTAAAAGTCTAAAATATAGCAGGATGAAAATTAAATAGCATTATTTCATATATTTCTATTATTTTTGTGGATAATATTTATTAATTATAAATGTATTCAATATTAATTATATGTACAGTGAGTAAAAATATAAACGGATCACTGTGAATTACTTTTGATCTAATGATCGGGTCTTCACGTACTAGGACTCAATCTTAATGGTTCGAGAGGGTGACCTTAAATATACTAAGTAACTAGCGCAGGCAATATTTTAGGTTACAATTATAAGACCCAAAATCCTACTTCCTCTGAATAATATATTACTTTTTTAAAATTCAATTTCTCAGGAACTATTTGACCAATTTAGCTCAATTTTTTTTTTTGCCTTGTGAAATTACATTCTTTAAAATGACGTGACAAATTGTATACCACAAAATTCAAATTTTTTCTCGACTATTAAACAAAATAATAAAAAATTAATAAGTATTTACAAAAAAATTTTATTGCTTTCAGTAAATAAATTCTATAAATGCGTGCTAAATTTTTTCGATTAACTTACAAAGTTCTTGAGATATAACAAAATAAGTTATAAAAAAGATTTACATTAAGGCGTTAAACTTTGGACTGCTCTCCTGCCTAACGTCTAGAAAACGTATATAACGTATTAAAAACGCATATAACGTATTAAGAACGTATATAATGTATAGAAAACGTCTATTCTATTGACAAAGATTAAGCAATAGTTTGTGGCTGGATGAGTTCTTTTTACAACTTCTGTATGATTTCTGAAAGGCTCCTGAAATTTAAACATCAGGTCAAAGGGATACTTTTATCCTCTCTCCCAAAAATCGATAAAAAATTTCTATTATATCGTTTGACAGAGACGATTTAATTGAGACGAGTAAATTCAGAAAAACTCAAAATTAGAATTATATTTTTTCTAAATTTTAAATTGCTTCTTGCTCTTGTTAAATTTTTCTCATTAGCTTGAAATTACCCATTTTAAATTAAACTTCGGACGATTATTTCTTGAAAATGATTTAAAGATAGCACCAGTGATGCTTACTTATATTTCTACTAAATAAAAAAGGAATCTATTGCACGTTTTTTAATATTTTAACTTTTTTATTTATCATGCTGGATAAATTCAGCGATCAGTGTGATTGGACAGCATATGCGAATATGCTAAGCAAAACAGAACCACGGACTGCATCATTTTTAAAGTTATTTGTAACTACGTGTTTTTGTTCGTTTGTTTTAAGAAAACTGAATAACTAAAAATCAACTGTAATTGAATTAAAAATGGAAACTAGTAGTGTACTAGGGAGTAAAATTAATTGGAGAAAAGAATTTTTTTTCTCTGTAAGTCAAAGAAAATGGCCCTTTTATTACTAACCCAATGAGCTAAGTAAAAGAGAGAAAGAAAAGAATTGTTTTAGTTTTTATCTATAATGTCGGTATATGCCTTTTAGTCTTAAGCAAACTTTCGTGTGTTTCGCAAATTAATTTAGAGAATACTTTCTTGCTTACTTCTTACGAAGAACAAGCAGTAATACAATAAGACGGGAAAAAGATCCAGTCACAACAATTCTTTAAGAACAAAGTTTATGTTTATAATGCAATATCATGTATTTAAAAAAAAATTATTACAGGCTTTCACAGTATTGGAAGAGCTGTTATCTAAAAGTGAGATCTGCATTGCTGTTAAAGAAAGACTCACAAAAGACTCAGGAGTTGCTGGTGACTCATATTACGACAATATCGTTCATAAGTTAATGGCAAAACCCAGTGCAAGAGGTACGTAAAATGATCCAAAAAAGAATAAAAACTAACACTTTGCTCCTATTTATCAGACTTACAATCTTAATGGTTTAAGTAAATTACCTGAAAATATACTAATTTATTCGTATTAATGATTCTTTAGTCACGAAATCTGGCACAAGGATTTACTTGATTACACTCTAAGATATTTGAGCAAACAGAAAATTTACTGTTATTTTATTCAGCCAACTCTCCGAAAGTTTTAACCTTATCGAATCTTTCAAATAGCTTTTCTTCTTTGCGAAAAAGACCCATCACACAAAATTGTAATTAACTTCAACAAAATTAGTAGAGTTTACCGTTATACTTACCTGGCAGATTATTAAAACTTCATAAATCAATCCGGGGGTCTGCATTTTTTTCAATGGTAGTTACAGCATCAATCTATAGATGCAGAAGTACCGGAATTGATCCCAAACAGCACTCAAGAACATCTCTCTCACTTCAGATTTAGATCAGGGTCTGCATTTTTTCCATGGTAGTTACAGCATCAATCTACAGATACAGAAGTACCGGAATTGATCCCAAACAGCACTCAAGAACATCTCTCTCACTTCAGATTGGCGAACACAGAAAACGAAGAGCAACTCTCTTACTCCTCTGCAATACTATCAGCGTGAAGTGTCGATGAGTTAAAGACAACTGATTTACTGGCGATAACCACATATTTCATGGGGAAAAAAATTTCGGGCAGATCTGTATTTTATGGTCATTTACGGAAATATTTTTTTCACGGCCAATGACCAGAACACTTTTCATAGGTCCACAGGTCAAAGACCATAATCTAGCAATGAGATTTTGTATAGAACAGCCACGTATTTTGTTTTTGCTTTTTTTTTTTTTTGAAATTCTGACTAGGAATATATTCTGACAGTAATATACAGATTCAGATTAGTAATATATGGGGGTAGACGCCTGAAATATACGGAGTCAATAGTTTTATCGTGTCAGATGGAGAAAATTGGATCCCTAATGCTAATTTTAATTTTGATGAATTTCACCACATCATGGAAACATTTGAGGAAATCGAAGCATTTTTACCTATACATTTAAAATTTGCTTTTCCAGCGAAAATTTCGTGCAAAATTATTTTTAAAAATTATTGTTCACTTTTATTGCCTAATTCAGAAATAGTTAAAATTTATTTTTTCTTGAAGAAAAAAAGGTAAGTAGAAAAAACTATTTTTTTCAAACTTTTTTTATTTATTGTTATCATTTTCTCAATATTGAGTTTCAAAAATTTAATTTTATAGATGCTAACATAGTCTGAATATTTTTTTAAAAAAAGAACCACAAGATAAATAATTATTAAAAAAGGGCTATAAACTCAAGGAGAAATTATATTTTGGAGTTATAAGCAAAAATCAGAATCATCTGCAATTTAAATTGCAACAATGCGTAATGCTACTCCTATCAGAAAATTTGCATTTCACTCTTCACACTCGAATGATTTGTAGTGACTGTTCTAATGTCGACTGTGACCTAGCCCGTGTTTGTGTTACACGGGGAGGAAAACTGTGAAAATTTCTTGCGGTGGTTAACCCAACGGACACAGAACTCATGATTTGTCTACCACAGAATTTGTATCAATCGCCACAGCTGGCAAACCTGGATCACATCATTAGGAGGCGAAGACTTTAGCCCCTGAGTCACCGTGTTTCGGTGGCAAAGGGTTGATTTCATTGAGAGGTTCAGGTTTTCGAGATATTATGAAGCCCGAAGTTTCAACCACTCTTCTGATTGAAGTGTTAAAACATATTTTCTTAATCTGAAATCGAGGTACGTCGGGAGCAAAAAAAAGCTTTTCTAGTAAAAATATATTTTTGTGTATAATTATGCTTTTGTTCTGGTAAATAAAAAGGATAACCATCGGTATTGCTTCATATGAATAAAAACAAGTTAGTCCATTTGAATGATATTTCTTTAGAGATGATACATGTGGTGACCATGCATAATTACTCTTGGAAACGTTCGGAATTTAAAAGAAAGGAAATGACTGTATATGCGAAAACTTGTTTCGGTGTAATCATCTGGTAGATATAATGTTACTCGAACAAAAAAATAGCCACTGATATCTTCTTCGGTAACAGATGTGATTTGTAAGAGTAATGGTCCGTTTTTATGAAGAAGGATCATAAAGATTTTATAGATTACTTTGGGCAAAATAACTTTTGAAAGAAATGATCCCTAGCAAATAGCTTTTTTAGCAAACTTCTTCAATGGTTCAAAGAGAAACTTGATTTCAGAAAAAAAGATTTGCCTAGAGATTAAGTGTAATTTCGTAAAAAAAAAGGCATATCTTCGCCATAATTTATTTCAGCTAACTTCCTTAGCTTATATAATGACACTTGGTTAATTTAAAATTTGTAATGTTAACAATATCGGTAAAACTAAATGGAGTTATTTGTGATAAATTGATTTTACAATAAAAGTGTCACAAATAATGCCATAAAACAGCCGTTCATATTAAAATGCATCATATTTCGTTTTATTTGTTTGTTTGGCTGATTCCTTCGGTTGTGACTATTTGATCATGTTGCGTGGTAGTTTAACCCTTTTAGAAGGAAGTGGGACACAGGTGTCCATTATATATAATATATATTTTTATGACGCTCTAGTTACCGGCAAATATATTTTTTGATATCATTTAATTACAAAATATAATGACAATCAATCTGTTAAATCAATCAATCTGTTAGATTATCGGAATTATATTTGTACTAAAATATTAAAGCCAAACAAGAAGTCTGAAAAAAAGTTTTTCATTGCTTTTCAAAAATTTACTGATTTGTTAAAATTAAAGATATTTCATAGATAACAATTGTGCCTCTTTGATCTAAATATCAGCAAATAAGTACAAATTTGAAGAAAATAAATCTTTGGAAGTGAGCCGAGCTTGGAGGATTTTACCTTCAACTCTGAAAAAGACACAGGGAAACACCTGTGTTCAGTTGTATTTCCTAACCATAAATTATTAAAATGCAAAACATAACATTTCCCACTTATTTTGACTTAAATAAAAATGTACAATATAAAAAAAAATATGAAGAATACGTTTATTAAAAATTTTGCTTCAGAGCGTTAAATAGTGAATTTTTAAAACAATTTCAGTAAGTAAAAAACAATGTGTTGTGATGATACTATATAATTTGCAATCAATAAAAACAAGATTCTAAATCTGAAGGATGAAACTAAATTTTAATTAAAAAACTTTTGACACCCCGAAATTGAGCTTTTCTGAAAAATCAAATGAATTTGCAGTTTTCAGACAGCAGAATTCGTAATAATTTGGTAATTTAATTATTAACTAACTATCATTACTATAATAAAAGTGTGATACTCCAAACATTTAAAGAAATAATATTTTAAAGAAAGCTTTACATTTTGGGTTCTAAAACTCGCTATATTGAGTTGTAAATATAGAACATAATATTTTTCTGTCATGTTATTTAAAAAGATGGATTGTAGTGCGAAAATGTGTTTTAAAAACAAATTTCTACTTTTACATTGTTTCCTAAAACATATGCTTATATACTTTCCAAAATGTCATTTGAACATTCTTATATTTAACATTTCATATGCAAGCATTCATTTTAATGACCTTAGTAAAAATCAATGCAAAAATATTTTTAACATAGAAGAGTTTTTTAAAAAAAACAACTAATGTTGATACCAATAAAAGGAGTATTTGGACTTAACAACTTTCAGATTGCCCTCTATTATAAATTGGACCATCATTGGATAGATCAAAGACATTTCCTTGAATTTAATTCCTTGCAAAACATTTTCCAGGAATTAATCTCTTTATTATTATTTTTTCGATATTTGTTTGACATATAGTTTAACAGCCAGCAAACGCATAGTTTAGGACACGACTTCACCAATATTTAGAAAAAAAGGTTTCTGAAGAATGGAGGCATTAATTGACATTTTTTCTTGATCTGAAAAAGAAACCAATGAGCAAAGCTCTCGTGAAATATTGATTTGTAAATTATAAAGTATTAAACGGCTTCGCTTCTGAATGACTTCTATAATGATCATATTTTTAAACTTTTGCAATAAATTATAAATTAAAAGAAGAATTTTAGCGATTTCTTTTTATATTTTTGCAAACATAAAGCAGATCTCATAACTGTTCGAAGAGTGATTTTCATTAATAATAAAGAAATCCAAGAAATATTCATTAATATTTTTTTCAAACTTTAATGACTTTTGCAGAGTTTTTCTCTTTAAATGATTTCAATTGTCAATATGTTTGGTTTCATTTGCAAATACGTTTTAAAACAAATGTTTCTTGAATTGCTTTTAAAAATATATATGGTTTTGTATGAAAAATTTCTTTATTTCAAAAAAATTTGAATTTCTAATTTTATATATATAAATCTTAAAACAATCTCATATAAAATTTGTTCTAGCAATCAATTAGATTACTACTTGAACTGCTTTAAAGTAATGTTTGTATAAAACCTTATCTGTAACCAAGTTCTTAAAATTTTCAATTTATTAAAAAAAATGAAACTCAAAGAAATTTTATTAATTATATGTTATAATTAGGGGTATAAGGTAATTGAGAATATAATAAATTAAAGAATTGCATTAGAATTAATATAATTAAAATTTTTTGCTGCGTTTTTGAAACATTGGACATACAATGAGAAAAAAAGTATGGTTAAAACTATTAGAATGTGCTAAAATACTAAAGGAATGTCGTAAATACTGTGTATTTTGGTTTTATTTCAAAGGTCAACTTTAATATTATTATTGTATTTATTTTTTTGAAAACAGTATGAGCAAAGGTATTTTTTTCTATTTCAAGTCTCGAAAACTCTCAACATTTGATTTTTCCTGTTGGACATGTTAGTGTAGAAAATACATACCCGAGCATTTTTTTTCGTTTGGTTATGAGTGGAAAGATATGAATGTGCCCATTATTAAGTTGTAGAAAATAGTGAGATTAACAACATTATATCAACACTTTAATTTTAAGTATAAATCAAAAGTATTAAGTATTTTTTGAACAAAAATATATAAGGTAAAATAATTAAGAATGTACTACACATTTATAGAGAGAAACACGGCATTTATCCTTAACATGGAAGTTTTTTTATGAGAATTATTAAGTTCTGTCTACAAGTGCATGCTCTTCAATGACTTGTTACTAAACACTAAGTAGCCTAAAATAATTAATTTTGACTGCTTTTTAACTGCTTTTACATTTGCAAAAAATGTGCAAATAATAATGCATAAATTAATATTTTCCTTCCGAGTGAAGCAAATTTTTTTATTGTTAATATTTACTTATAACTTGTTATGTAACTGTAAATAATCTAAAAAATATTAAAAATTAATTAAACAAATTTCTTTACACATTAGTAATTCTTTCACAATGCAGTCATTTTGACTGCTTTTGGGCAATTTAGGTATATACTAAGTTTCAGTCTTTCTAGCGTTAAAAAAGCTACTTTAAATTTAACTCTTTTTTATTAATAATATGTTGTTTTCATAACTGCTGTCAAATTTTAACAATCATTCATGACTGTTAGATTAAGCTGAGTCTATCTATAGTCAGGGCCATCTATGCTAACTCTAAAAATAGCACGAAACATCAACATGAAGAGATGCAACAGTTTCGTAAAAAAGTAAAGGCGTTTTTGATTTTTCTAAGAAAAAAGTTACTTCGCTGAATTATCTAGGTTCATAAAAATACGCTGGAATTGAAAAACAATAAGTGATTTTTTTTCAAACATTTATTGTCTTTTTAAAGTTATTTTTCTGTTTAAATGCCATGATAATTCTTTACAGCAAGATACTATCTGCAATTGAAAATTACCTCAAGTGCGCCTTTCGGTCCTATTTTCTTTGCAAACAGTTTCAAGAAACTCGGTGCCATATTTTGACGATTTTTCTTCGGGAGACCTAACCGTTAGAGGTTCTCTAGGTTTCCCCTCCATGCAACGCAAATGTGGGTTAATTCCATTAAAATTTCTCAACGAAGGCAAATTTCTCCCAATACTTGATCCAGGAGTTCCCTTGTCTTTTGTATTAGGTTCAAAATTACAAGTCGACGGTGTTGAACATTAGTGGAAAAATGACAGCCGACAAAAACAGCCTTTGACAGCCGGGTCTGCTGTTCAATGACGGTTATGAAATAAAATAAAATTTGAGGTGTGCTTTATCTGTTTTTCTGACTGAATATTTACATTCCTATCCGGGCATGTAAAAATATAAAAAAAAACATGTCCGGTTGGAATTTTTATATGACCGAAGCATGCATGGCTATAAAAATCTCGATGCCAGTATATAATTAATATGCAATTAATATCTAATTAATAAAAAATTAGTGCATAATTAATACATAATTTATATATAATTAGTAATATTAAAATATAATTAAGTTTTGAGATTGCAGAATTTATAGATTAATACAAAAAAATGCTTTTAAATTACCATTTCCCAGCTCTTGAAAAAATTAACATACAAATAGCTATTGTAACTGATCTTTTAATAGCGTGCGTGGAAGGTAACAGATTAACTAAATTTGTTAGCATGCTTCCCTGCTGTGTTTATGAATATTCAACATACATTCAACACATATTGATTCAGAACTCGTTTCCTATTCGAATCCTTAAACAAACGCTAGCCTGTTTAACATCGGAAAATTGCTTAACTTTAATTCCTTAACTCTAAGAGTATTAGTGGTGTTTGAGGAATTTCCCGAGAAGGCTTTAAAAACTAAGTACACTAAATAAATCTGTTTTAAAATATATTTACTTATGTTTGAACTAAGATTTTTATTTTAAGCATGATTTAGTTTAAGTTTGCTTTTAGAATTTTCTTCCCCGGATTTATTTTTCCTGATCAACCTCCTGAGATTGATAAATGAATACTGATTTCGTTTTGAAAAATAACACGATGATTAAACTTCGCAATAGCAGTTGGAAGAGACCAGTTATTTATCAGAACCACACCCAAAAAAGTTTATTAGAATGTCATAAAAATGAAATAAAAAGGGTTATAAAGGATTACAGGCAATGGTCTGCAAGAGTTTAATTTTCCTCAGAGCTAAGCCACCATGCTATTATAAAGAGGAAACTAGACTAAGAAGTTTTTGTATTTGTTTCTAATTTCAATTACATTAAATCAATGGTTATTTTTAATTCAATGAGTTAGCAAGTAAATTTCCTTCGTTTTTTTTTTCAAATCTTTTTTTAAAGCTTGAAGTGCGGGAGCATTTTATTTCATTTTCCATTTCCAATATCTTTTTTCGCACGTTTTTGTGAGGAAATTGGTTTAATCGCCTTCATTGATTTCAACTGGGCTGCTAGAACAATACGAATCTTTAAATGCAAAATTCCTATTTTTAAGCTTGACAAACTAATCACAAGTCTCAATTTCTTACGTTGGATAATAAAAGATAATATTTACAAAAGCATGAGCTAATAATTAAGATATATTTGCTCTGTAAAATCGTAAAACATTAACTTAAAGGCATGTTTTCGGTATATTCATGTTTAATTCTATCTAAAGCGTTCCAAGTTTCACTCAGTCTTTTACGTTCTTTTTTAATTTATTAATTTTATTTTTTTAAAAAACGCTTTGGTAAATATGTGAACAAAGTGTTAACTTTTTATCGACTTGAAAGCCTGAATTTTGGTTAAAAAAAACTTTTTATTATGCACTTTTTATGGTGAGTAAATGAAGATGTTCTTATGTTTCAAATTTTTACGCTAGATAAAATAAAGGATAATAATTATGAAACATGAGCCAATAATTAATTTTTTTTACTCAATAAATCATAAAACATTATCCGAAGAAAAAATTTTAGATGGAAGAAGGATAATAATTACGGACATATGAGCAAATAATGAATTCATTTTTGCTTAATAAAAATGTATGAAAAAATATCTTAAATGAATAATTTTAGATGCATCTATTCATGTTTCATTCCATCCAAGGCATTCTAAATTTCAAAAGTTTTTTAATTTATTTAATTAATTTTTTCATTATAGTTTTTATTTTTTTACACGCTTAAACAGAAAAATTTGAGGAATAAAATGTTTCGTTGACCAGGTGTTAAGTTAAGATTTTTGAATCAGATATATATA